TGAGGCGCAGCTCCTGGTGCCGCGGCCAGCGCCGCGCACTGCGACTATATGGCGGTGTGAGTAGCGCCCGCTGCGCTCGGGCTGGGTGTGGGGGAGCAAGCGAAACCGGGTAGACTGTTGTGTGCGTGTAACGTGACTCAGTGCTCTGATTTAATGTGCAGCATTCAACTTCCGCATGGGGTAAGAATTTCCTAAGGGAATTCATGAACCTCTTGTTTCGTAATAAATGCCCTAACCTTGACAGTCTCTCTGTCTCTTCCCCATTTTACAGGCAGGTAAGAGGCACCCTGGAATTTGAAGTGCAAAATGTCCTTTAATTGTGAACATTGGATTTAAATCTCCTCAGGGCTGAATACTTCTGTGCACATCACGTACTTGAAGCCAGCTGTCCCTGATTTCCATGGTCTGTGAGCACCTTATGGTTTTGCTGATGCCAACTGCAGTGCCTTGGGCTGGAGGCAGGGTGCACACAGTTGATGTTTTCTGGGAGTGATTTTCTCACACCACAGGACCAGATGCAAAGGCAGAAGCTGCTTTTCCAGAGTGCCTGTCAGTCCTTTCACTGTCCTCTCTTGTGATGGCCAAAGTCTCTTCGTGCCTTCCAGCTCCTGCATCAAATTAACACAAATCAAAGGAACCATTTATGTGTGGAAAAGATAAGGCCTTTTTCAGAGGGAGTTGCTCTTTTAGAAATAATCAGCATAAAGGGGGGTCTAATTACAGTTGGACACACTCAGAATTCTCATATTTTTATATTATATTAGATTTTTCAGCTTCTGCGTTATTTTACAAATATTGTGTGAGGGGAAATTTTTATGTGTATGAGAATTATATATATATTTATACACTAGGAGATCCATCGTATGGAACTGTAATAAGGTCCTAAACATCAGCATTTGAAACTTGGCAGGGCTATAGTGGTTTTAGCTGCTTGGTGCTGGTGATCTAAACCATCAATTTTTTTTAACTGATATTTTAGACCTGTGCTTAAGATGCTCTGATAATACAGCATGAGAATTTGGGGACCTAAATTAATTGGTGTTCTTTGATTAGTACCTCTTTTGTATTTTGTGTTTAATTTCTAGTTGCATCTATTTTACACAGTTACAAAAAAAGCTGCCTTCAGAATAGAAGTCTGAAATCAAGCCATCCCTGGTATGGGGCTGTGGCATCTTTCTTGCAATCACTGGTCACTCGGGCAGAACCTTGCTTTGCTATGTTTGGGCCAGGGTTGGAAGAGTTGGATGACTCTTTAGTGCAGAAGATAATGACTTGCCTCAAAATTCTACTAGTGGCTGACCTGCCTCAAAGATGAATTCATGGTAATGCTTTTGGTGGTGGTGGTTTGAATTTTATGAAAAGATAAGCCTTAAAAAAAAAAAAAGTTGGTGGAAAAATAGGAGCATTTTTTTTTATGCTTGCGTTAAAGGTCAATAATGTAATTGTAAAAAAATATTTCCGCTTTGTATATATATGTATCAAAGGACAAACACAATAACCAGGCAGGATAAAAATTTAGCACTGGTGAACTTAATGGTTAAATTTGTCCTAAATTCTATGCCTTGTATGCTGCTGTGATGGATAAGTATGAACACAACTTCCTTTAAATAGTGTCTGTAAGTGCCACTATTATTTAGCGGTGAAAGCTATGCTTGTCTTACACTCATTCAACACCAGAATATTTAATCAGATAAAGAATCAGTGTAAGTTTTTCTCATTAAAAAAGGGGATGTAGGATCAGGTGAAAGATTCTTTTCGATATTTAGAAGGAATTAAAAAAAATTCTGACATCTGTAATTTTGCTTCGGTTCAAAACAGATACAAATCTTTTGATCATTTTAAACTAAGAATAGCTAACATTTAAGCACAGCAGAATTGGGATAATTAAATTACATTTACAGGAAGTGGAAAGATATGCATTTTTTGCTGTTATTTTCTTTCATGTCTTTTTCAATGCAGCTTGTCCTAACTAGACTAGAGCTTTCCTGTGTCAGTTTAGGGTAGCAGATGCTCCTCCGTGACTTAAATTCCTAGGTTCTAATACAAGTATCAAAAACCCAAAAAACATAGAAATGCCTCCTGATTTTATTTTGGTTTTACTTCTTAACAAATCCTAAATTTCCTATTAATAAGTGTGCTTCCCCCCAGCAGCAACACCCAGATTTAGGGTGCATCTATTTAACAGCCTTGATAGAATTTTCAGCCTCTCACTAAGTTGTGTTCAGCAACCAGATATCTGTAATCTCATACATTCATTTTCTCTTTGTAGGGATTGGATCAGGAGTCAGTTTTCAGTTCAATATCAAAAATTCAACATTCTAACATTGTATTCAATCACCAGGTAAGGGTATTTTTCCTAAAAAAAAAAAAAAAAAAAGGACAAAATAACTGAGAAATTATACTTTTTTTTTTTTCTCTTGGTTTCATGATGTAAGCTTTATGCCTTTATTGCATACGTAGATATCTGTTATACACATATTGAACCTCCGGTTTATTCCCTGTTTCTTTCTCCACCCACTCAATTTCCATGTAAGAAGTAAGCCTTCTCACCCACACTAATGCATAAGAAATGTTATAAGACAAATACATAAACAGATAATTCTGTCCCTCTGCGTATTCTGACTGTTTCCCTTTTGAAACATTTTATCGGTTCATCCTGGAGTGTATTTTAATGTGCATCTTGCAGCCTGCTAACCATCTGTATGTACGCACTCAAAAAATGGGGGCAGCAAAACTATTTTCCTGGTTAGGCCATTTTCACGACCCTTTGATGTGCTGATCTCTGCATAGACCCTGTTTTTTCATTTCTAGCTAAATTAACCTGGCTACTATTATTAAATGGCTGGAGTATTTTAATATCTTCCAGTGTGTAAAGGAGAAGAGCAAGGGCGGAGCAAGCTGTTGTTGTCAATAAGATGTTCTACCAAGACAGCACTACAGTGGGGAATCAGCAAGCTGTGCACTACAGTGTAATAGCTCAAGTGAAAAAGGTGTGCCGAGTAGTTGATGGATTCATCTATGTCTGATACCCCAGAGGGCTGCGCTGCCATCCCAAGGGACCTGGACAGACTGGACAACTGGGCGGTGAAAAACCTCATTAAATTCAACAAGGCCAAGTGCAAGGTTCTGCACCTGGGGAGGAATAACCCCAGATACCAGTACAGGCTGGGGACTGACCTTCTGGAGAGCAGCTCTGCAGAGAAGGACCTGGGCGTCATGGTGGACAAGTTGACCATGAGGCAGCAGTGTGCCCTCGTGGCCAAGAAGGCCAATGGGATCCTGGGG